CAACAGACCCCTGTGCCGCCAGACACCGGGGGAAAGCACCTCGCCGTGCACGGATGCTGGAGGATCCCCTGTGAGACAATAATCCGATCCTAAACAGGTTGACTTGGGAATCGATTTTTCTCAATGCTCCTAACGTCCAAGTTAAGGTGATGTTAAGACTGCAACTCCCCCTTCGGCGTGTAGGTTGCGTTCGATAATTATATAGCGTTTTAAGGTTAAAAGGAGCCCGTGGTTATTAAGCGGAGGCAGCAGAATGGGCAATTTGTGAATGACCCACGCGTCTCAAGTACAGTACCAAGTTATCCCTGCCTTAAACACGGAAGCCGTCGTCTGGAAGGAACGGCTTTCTTTGCTTCCTTGCCATTTCGACTTGTGGGCATCCCTTGAAACGCTTAACTCAGCTACATGCGATGCCAAGGGCGGCCAAAAATGCTTCCTTCCCCATTCAGGGTATAGAAGATGACCGGATTGACAGCTGACTTCAACTCTAGCAAATGGGTCGTGTCCAGTCCGACCTCCTCTCCCTGAAGCAGGATAGTTAAGGGGGCACAGGAGAAGCCATTACAACACACACAGAGAGAGACTGCCCTGCAAGGCAAAGAACCGTCTCCCGGGCCCCCAAGAGAATGGCTTGGTGAAACTCTGCCTGCTGAGCTGGTTGAGTCACTCTGCTCACTGGCAGGGCCGGCCCTGCTGAAGCTCCGTGTTTTTGGCTGCTGAAATAACCTGCGGAATTGATGAATAACCGGACACAGCAGAGCGAAGGTTAAGGACTTTCTGGGCTCCAGCCATTAGAGAAGGAGAAACATACACATAGTCTGACGTTTCACAGAAACCCTCAAAAGGTTTCACTGTGGTTGTATCTTTCCATAGGGTAATATTACAATTAAACCACAGTAATAGACCAAGGACCCTCTGACCCTCTGTATCTATGCTCATAACTTATGGGGAGGGGGGGAGCTCTATTAAAATCATTTGAACCTATATCTGAGTAAATATGCACAGGATTTTATCCAATGCCTTCATACTGAGCACAGGCTTTCTTCTTTGCTGCCATAGACAAAGGATATTGTATTGCAGCGCAAATTTAAGTCCTATTGATTTCATGTACTGTATTCCCCCTTAACCCTCCTATGGAAACCAATAGGACTTAAAAGGGCTTAACATCGAGCGGATTGTAGCCTCAGTTTATTGCTCTCTGTACTGCACTTTGTACCAGATGATGTTCAAGACACAATAATAAAAATAATACAAATATGATTTAATTAAGTATAATACAATAGTGAAACAATATGCTTTTTACATACTGCAAAAACATAGGGGAAGTAAAACAACAATAACATGACAGCATGGGTAAGCCAAATGTTCCCCTCCAGATATTGTGCAATTGCAACTCCCAGGAGGCTGAGTCAGTCCAGCCGGTGGTGAGAGATGTTGGGAGATGTAGTTCATCTCCACCGGGGGGGGCTGCACTTTGCCTATGCATGTTGCCACCAATGTTTTTGCTTTTTCACCCTTCTTGTGTTCATATTTTTTTAAAAAAGAACGTATTGACTGAAATCCTGTTGGCCAGTAATTCAAACAGGGTAGCTTTGGGAAGCAAATTGATGTAAGTTAAGAAAACTCCATAGGCATTATCTGTTGCATGCTGAGTCACATGGTTTGAGATGCAACAGATAATGCCTGTGGAAATGTCTTCACTTACAGCAGTTCACATCTAAAAGTTATGCTGTTTGTATAACCGTACAATAGGATTTCAGCCACTGTATCGCTGTTGTATTATATTTAATTATGCAGTACTGTATTATATTTATTTATACGGTATTGGTGTTAGCCATCTTGGGCATCATCTGCTGGAAATTATGACAGAATTAGACTAATGCGTTAAGATAAATTACAGCATATTTACAAATCTGCTTAAGGTCAGGAACGTAACTAAGCAGAAATGGTTTTGCCTGCTGGTAGAAGAACATACTCAGAGATGGAGCTACTGTAAATAGGTCTCTGGTCATTTCGATGTGAGAAGTTTGCATTTCGAGCACTTTCAGACATTCCTTGGAAGCCAGAAGCTCTAGATGTATGAGACTTTTTGTTGTCGTTTATTTATGGCTATTGCTTCCCGGACACCATCAGTACATGTTTGGGGGAGTCGTATTTCCAAAGAAGATGAATGTTTGTGTTTTGGACTGCAGCTCCCAGAATCCCACAGCCACCTAAATGGTGCCCCCCTAAAAAAAAATGTTTCCCATCTTAGCATTTGCTGGGGTTTGGATATGGATCCTATCCATACCCAAAGGAGTATCCCATTCCTTATTGGGGCTGTAGTCACAGAATCATGGGAAGGGCTTTGCTGGGTGTCTGAGAATGGCCAGAAAAAGCTTTGCTCTTCCCCTGAACCGTTGTGTAGTCTGGGCCCTGAGGGCAAGGGAGTCGACAGCAGTGTCTTGCTGTGGAGGAGGCACACTTACATACAGTGATATTCCTGCCAAAAATCCTTGAACTGGCACTGTTTTCTATCCTGTTGTCTATGTATTCCAAACATTTTAAACAGCTTATTTAGCAGACCTTTGGCTGTGCATGTCTTTGTTCCTACCTAGTGCCTTGGACTCTCTGTTTGCCTAACCCCCTGGTTCTCGCTTATATGTGGGGGATCTGTTAGGTAATTACATTGCTCTCCAGGGCTAGCCCAAGCCTTACATTTTGCACCTCATACCCTCTTCCCCCCCCCAAAAAAATAAGACCTAACCTGAAAATAAGCCCTAGTATGATTTTTCAGGATGCTCATAATATAAGCCCTACAGAAGAAGATGACATGACTGCATTTGAAGAAATATAGATTGTTGTGCATTAAAAAAAATGAAGTGTCCTCTGAAAATAAGCCCTAATACGTGTTTTGGAGCAAAAATTAATATAAGACCCTGTCTTATTTTGGGGGAGAAACACAGTATATACATATTTATTGCAATATAGAAGTCTGTGCTGCAGGGTCAGAAGACCAGCAGTCATAAGATCGAATCCACGCGACGGAGTGAGCTCTTGTCGCTTGTCCCAGCTCCTCGCCAACCTAGCAGTTCGAAAGCATGTGAATGCGAGTAGATAAATAGGTACCACCTTGGTGGAAAGGCAAAACGGTATTCCCTAGTCATGCTGGCCACGCAACAATGGAAACTGTCTTCAGACAAGGGCTGGTTGTACGGCTTGAAAAACAGGATGAACACCGCCCCCTAGAGTCGGACATGACTGGACTAAAAATGTCAAGGGGAACCTTTACCTTTTATACATGTATGTAATGGCAATATACTACTACTTTCTCTCCCTCTCCCCCTCCCCCATGGCAATATTATGGCATTATGGAAACTAAGTGAAATAAATGTTGTGGTTGTGTTGAGTTATTTGGTGCTATTAATATGGTTGTTGTGATTGTGTGCGTAGAAGGATAAGGACTGTTTGTTTATTTGTTTGTTTTAGCAACTGGAAGGTAAGCAAAGCTTGGAAAATTCTTTTTTTCTCAATTTCCCCAGGGGCTTATCCCAAACAACATCTGAAAGTGTATCACCCCTTAGCAGATATATGAAGTAAGTTTTGTTCTAACCAGAAATGACATCCAAAAGTACAATGCTTCAGTCTTACCAACTGATTTTGTGAGATTTTTATGGTTGTAGCCCCCAAGTTCATTTCAGCACCCCAACATCATAGATGTTGATTCACAGACCGCTTATATCAAAGCCAAGCCCAAGTTCATTTCAGCACCCCAACATCATTGATGTTGATTCAC